TCAAAATATTCAAAATAAAGAAAATTATATTGTGTACATTTTGCAGCATGTCTGTGCTAAAAGTGAGGCCGATTGCTAGGAGTCTTGTTTCTGCTCCATTCTTGCATATTTTTCATTAGATAATATTTATTAGGTAATATTTTCTTTAAAATCTTTTTGGTTCTTTAGGTTTTACTATTCATAAAAGTCAGTACATGTATATTTGGAACTCACTTTTAAGTTTAATTACTTCTTTACTATTGTCTCTCGATCTACCTCTTTCTGAACGCCAAATATTGTTCTTTGTGGAAAAAAATCATTTCCATTGAAGTATTCATTTGACACACACCAAACTCTAGTAGCTAGAAAACTCTTTTGAAGTTAATATCAGAATTCTTGAAAATCTCAAAGAGCCATAAATTTTCGATGCTTCAAGTTTTCCCATTCTTGTTTTTGTTGTTACAAGACTTTGTTTAATAATGACCGGTCATCAAGTAGTTCATTTATTTTTACTAAATTACCCATTATAATGTTGATGAAATCTTCATTCTCTTCTAGCTAATCCAGTTCACATCAGTAGTTTAAAATATTCAATTAATTTGTTCTGCTTATTCAATACTCTTTTTTCAAAGCTTTAAGTAGTTTATACTAACTTCATAGAACTGACCAAGTTTCTGCTTATTAATTTTACAATTTAATGCTAATTTATCGAACAAATGCTTTGCCGTGTATAGTAGAAATGTGTATTGGAAGATTTCTTTAAGTTTATTTTCCGTTCAGAATATTTTATGAAAACCACCATGACAGTTATCGAATTGGACTCCACTTCCTTGAACACAACTTGAAATAATTTTTAAGTTACATTCGAAAACAAAGGTACACCTCATTTAAAGGATTTTTAGAAAATCTTGATAAAGTTTTCAAGCATTCTTCATTAAAAATTTAGATCTTCAAATAAATCTACAGCTCGCTTTGAAGTGCATTCAATAAATTCAAAAATCTTGAACTGCTACGAGACCAAACAGTTTCATATTTAGTTTCCTCAAACTAGCATTATTTTAACTGAGTTGTTCTGACTGTAAGCATATGAAAATATTTTAATTACTATTTTTACATTTTAATTACTATCTCTTCAATATTCAGAAATAGAGTATTCGCAGGAATCTGAAGAGAACTATTCAGTTTGAACTAAGCAACCGATACTTAAATTAGGAGGAGGAAAATGATTTTCAATCTTTATGAACACACGTCTATCAGTTCTTGTGTTTATACCTCCAAACTTCATATTGGTATTATCGGAACAGAAACACATCGCTTTTCTATCAGGACATTATTTTTTCACATTTTTCAAAAGGTAGTCACACAAAATGTCTAAAGTTTCTCCTGATATTTCTTCAAAATGTAACAGTTCACCTGAGCCTGTCGATATAAAGCACTTTTTGTTAAACTATAGGTCGCAATCTGAAATGTGGTCGCAAAGAGAAATGTTGGAGTAGCGAAAATTTAACACAAATACGTGAATTTAAAGAAATTGCATTGATGAGACTTTTAAAGAAATTAAACATTAATTGACATTAAGGAGATTAACCACCTGCCACGTAAATCGCAAAGGAATTCGTAGAGCTGCGAAGTAACTAAACTTAAAACTTAAGTTTCCACAAAAATCCTTGATGAATTCTGAATTATTATCTAGAACTTAATTTTCCTACAGTTTTTCAAATGGCATTAAATGCTCTTCTACCATTCAGCACAACATGCTGATGTGAAACGATTTTATCAGTTTTAACGCTTATCCAGATGTCGTTCAACACTGAAAAATTGTGAAGATGCTTTGCGTCCTGCAGTGTCAAATACTGCACCAAGGTTTAATTTCTTATATAAAAAAAAAGAAAAAGAGAAAAAAAAGAAAAAGAAAGAAAGAAATAAAAAGTGCATCCATCTTATGAAAATATGATTTTGTTCAACTTCTGTGTGCTCGAAACAAATCCTAATGCATTTACTTTTTATATGAGGGCTGAAATTTATAGGAAAATATTCTTTAGTCTATATTTATTCTATATTTCATATGTGGTATCGCGAAAAATGTCTCGATGATAAAAAGTTTAAAAAGCGCTGAGCTAAAGTAAAGAACCGAATGACTATAAGGATTAGTTTTATATCTTTATGGCTTGAAATTACAGTCTTTAAAATGATGTAGTTGAAAGTTTTCAAAGTATCTAACTTTTTATGAAAAATTTATAGCGATATCACATATGTAATTATTGCTTCAAATTTTGTGTGTGCTGCTGAAACAATTTGGTTTGAGGAACTTCGTAATTAACATAGATGCCCATTTTTATAACTTTGTAAGGATTTATATTTATTTTGACTAACCAGTTAAGTTTGTACTTCCTTTTCTATAAGCCTTCATTTCCCTAATTGTCAATGCCAGAATATTTAAATTTAGTAGCGCTCGTGAAGAAATGCAAGTTCTACCATTAGAAGAAAACGTTTAAATACTGAGTTCTAGAAGGGAAAGACAGAGAGAGTGGCCAAGTACTGTACCTTTGTAGCGTGTGCTTCTGATTCTGTAAGTATTGCTGGTTAAAAGTGGCATAACTGCTACTACTTTGCTGCCACTAGACTTCGACGCGGTTTTAGGTAACAGCATTATCTGAGCCCTGGGAAATATTCTACTGTTTTGTTATTATCTTTGAATATTAAGTTTAGTTCTTGTTAGTCAAGTTACCGCACGAGCGAGGAGTAGTTTGTTAGCGTCAAGTCGACGTATTGTGCATTTTAAAGAGTCTAATAAAGGGTTCTTTTAACTCTTCTGTCTGATTCCTGCACTTACTTCAGCATTTACACTGAAAGCTAAGCAACTAGATAATACAACTTGTGTTGATTTTTCCCGTTAAATTCTATGTGATATATCTGACTTCGAACCTAAAATTTCTGAAGAACACAAAACCTTGTCTAAAACTTAAAGGTTTATTCAACTAGAACTTCAAAAATGATGAAAAACTTAACATCATAAACGAAAACTTAACATCTTAGGTGGAAACATTCAACATTTCCAGGCAATGCTTTAAACTGTCAGCTATTCCGGCACGGTGAAGAACACTTTCTTATAAAAGGAACTAAATCCATCTGGCCCTTTCGGCATATATCTCCATTTTAGTTTCACTGGATTCAGACTTCAGCTCCTACGTGTTTTGGACTTAAACGGCCGGACTGGAACTGGAACAGGACTAGAACCGGAAAAAAGACTGGAACCGGAACATGACGAGAACCGAAACAGGACGGGAACCGGAACAAGACTGGAACCGGAACAAGACTGAAACCGGAACAAGACAGGAACCGGAACAATCATCCCCTGGCTTCTCCCCCGGGCAGTTCTACTCTGGCTCGAACTGAACTGAAAATGAAATGCGCCGCTACCAAGGAAAGCACCTCCTTTTATTGACGGCGGTTGCCGTTACTACAGGCGATTATGCACAATATTTAACAACTTGGAAGTCATTATATGCATTCTTAACAAAATGGTAATTAGTTCTTTCTACATGCTTGCGCCATGCTAAGTGCCGGCACTACACGGCTAGTGCCCCCTTAGAACAGTTTCCGGGGGTTCAACCGGCTGTGGTTCAATCCCCTTCTCTACACCTGAGAGACACCGACACTAATCGCCCTACGGCCAAGCAAATACGGCTTTTTTGGTACATTTAAAGTCATCATCAATAACATCTGGCACTATGGATATCATTATACATTCATCGATCCCGGCAGACTACACATGCAGATTTTTTTTCCTGGGAGGGAAGCCACCTTCCCTCACGACAATGCCACGTGTCGCACAGCTAGGAAGGATGTGTTTTGAAGAATAAGAGAACGACTGTAAATTCAATACCTCCCTGGCCCCCCAAAGTCCCCAGATTTAATCAGGGATCTGTGCAACTGACTTGGAACATGGATTATTTTCTCTGCGGATGCACAGCATCCGCAGCGCACCATCAACAGCTGGCAACTATACCTGCCAGCTTGCTTCCATACCTACCTCTATGATTCCTTCCATACCTCTGTGATTACTTTCCAGCACGTTAGTGAATCTTATTAAGTCAAGGCGAATTGATTGCTTTAAAGTGCCTCAGTTTATTAACCAATACTCGAAAGCTAAATCCAAAGTTTCGTATCACTTCGGAAGGCAACATTCTAGAAACTGACCCTTTGACAAGTAACGTGTAAGATATATTAATATGTTCATCCAGTTCAAAAACAGCATTTGCCAGAAGTCTTAATGATTATGTATAGCATAATAACATAACGTAAAGTAACGGCAAAACATTTAGGAAAAACTCGGTTATAAAATCGTTTCTAACGTTATAAGACCAAGAATCTAAAAAAGCAGTGCTTTTCTGACCTGAATCAAAGCAATTTTGGATACTATAGGTTTAGTACGTGGCTTTGCAATAACGCTGATATACTCGAACTTCAAAATAATCTCGACTTCGTGGTTATTTAATAGTTAAAAACTATCAGGTGCTACCAGTTACCAGAATGGAAGACATGGCACATTTATTTAATTTTCCAAAATTATTTAATGCCTGCTGACAAACGCGCATGATCCGTTATGCTTGGACTTTCGTGTATTGCATAGCAATTCGCGGTTGTCTGGTAATCCTAAAAACGTTAAATTGATTCTTTTCCCAAAATTTGCTTTCCGCTCTGGCCATTTTCAGAGTATCCGGCTTATGAGCAGAATTAAATTAAGGGGCTCTTGGGCCCTAGACGTAGCACTTTTTCAGATATCTCCGTTATTCAGTTTTCTAGTTTTTATAATGGAGAGACAAGATTTTGCAGATTTCTAGCATGACACAGGGGCGCTTAAAATATGGGACTGTGGTACTTTAGACCCAGGCTTATGGACTTAAGCGATAAGCGGGCATTGACTGAAGAGCAAAACATCAAGTTACCCTTTTTGAATACATTTAATCATGACAACAGAGGTATGGTTCATTTTTAAGTTTTCATGAACTTTTTTCTAGGTTCCTTCTACATACCGGCAGTCATCATGGTGTACGTTTACTGCAGAATCTTCGCGGTTGCCAGGCGGAGACAGGCAGTGCTAATGCAGGACACAGGTAGCAGCAAGGAGAACCAAGGTTCAGACAGCAATTCCTCCACCATGGGAGATACCACTGTCCAAGCTGACCACCAACGTATTCTCAAAGACGCTTCACATCTGGAGCCAGAAGACTTGCCTATGGCTCAGGTAAATGAATTAGATGTTCTTCCAAGTAGATTATCCTAAACAGCTGAATTTCTTGATTTAATTTCCTTGCTTTTACTGTAAATTGGTTATTTATTTGCATACTTTTCGGACCAAAAATGTCTTTTATAATACGGATTTTCTAATACGGACTAATTTTTGTCTCATATGGACAAGGCCATGAGTATTTGTTGAGGTGCGCCTATTGTTTTCGGGAATGAAATTTTAAAACATTACAGCTACAATTAAAAAAAGCACTTTTTTAATATGTACACGCCAAAACCAAGACCTGTTCACATTAGTCATCAAATGATTGACATCTACACTGTTTCATTTTCAAATAAAAATTTAGGATTGAAATGGTCTTTTTTTAAGATTCCTTTCCCGATCAGTCTTTTTATTTCAATAATATTCATATTTCATTGTTTAATTTTTATATTAAAGCTTCTAGGTCTTCTTATCTAGCTAAAGCTAAATAGAACTATATTCTTCTTTGGACATGCGTACTTTCTAGCATATCTAATGTTCTCTACTTAGACTGATCGCTGGTATAGTCATGCGTATATATGCCCATATACCCTATACTCATGCGGCTGATGAAAATGTCGTTGAGCAGGATTTTACAGTGGAAAGCTTTGGCTCTTTTGCAGGTCACATAATTACAGAGAAACCTCGATTTTACATTTCTCTTCGGGAATTACACTGCAAAATTTCAAATGCAGAAATCATAATGCAAGAAAATCTGTTTCAGAAAAATGCACTTAAAATGTGAAACAAGAAGGTACAAAATTGAATTTTGTGAGCCGCTTTTGTAAAGCGTATTAAACTCATTGTAGAGATGTTTTCAGTTATTTAACATTTTAGCTTCAATACAAAACTTTGAAAAAATGTCCTTTGACAGTTATCAAAACTTTTATCAGAGTGGTTTGACTAGTAAATAGTGGTAATCGAAGATTTTTTGCAAGTTCATGTTTATATCATTTTGCCGACAGTCAATTCAATGCGTCACATAATTCAAATGTTCATGTTTGGGGTAATTATGTTTAATTTCTAACTTCATTTTGAAATTTCTTGTTTTTCTTACTTTTTGTCGCAAATAATTAATTTAATTGAGAAGTTTTCTGCGAATTTCAGTTAAAAGAAGGAAGATTCAAAAATACTGCGTCTCTTGAGTGCAATTGATGATATTAGTTTCTGCTTAGAGGTGTCCTTGTTTTTCTGGATATATCTCCTGCACAGCTCCTTAAATGCAAATTGGAAGCGTTTTGATAAATGAGAGCTGAAATTAGAATCTTCTCAAGGGCTGTGATACTCCAGGTGTGTTACAGATTAAATAGTTAAAATAGAAAATTAAGAGCAGATTTAGGACAGTAGTCGGAATTCATTCGCAGTTTTTATTTTTATGCTGTAAAATACTTTAAGTCACACACAGGAGTTTCTCTTCAAACAAACGTAAAGCCTCTTCACATGATCTTGCTTAAGGCGAACACATGGTTAATGTGAACAAAATTTCGGCCCTGTCTGCGATGCATGTTTTATTATAGGAAGTTTTATCGGTTAAAGATAATATCGGTTAGCACGAATAACGAATTATTTTATAATCCGTTCTATCATTACGCATAGTCATGAAAAATGAGCAGTGCCCTCAATTGGTTCGACGGGAGTCGAACCTCGGACTTCTCGAATACTTCTCGAAGTGTGCTGACCATTACACCACGAAGGCATGCTAAGAAGGCGGGAGAAATACCTTATAATTACATTTTATCAATTAATAAAAATTTTCAAAATTCTTTCTGTTTTTTCCTATTAGGAATACCTTTTAGGTTCAGAAATATTCTGTCTCGTTTAATTAAAAAGCTCATAGAATATTCTTTTATAAATAGCCAGCTTAAGTGACATTTTTGGATAATTCCAGTAAAAATTTAAATTATTTGAATTTACACTAAATATTTACATAGATTTACTGGACTGCACTTAAGTTACATACGAATTTTCAGCTCGCACCAACATATTTTTCTCCGAAAGTTCCATCGGAAGTGTTCGATCCTGTAGATGGCACCTTGGCAGTTCAGGCGTAAGCACTAACGTTAAATTGCAAGCAATAGAAAAGTGATTTATGGCTAAGAAGACACGTGCAAACAAAACTTAAAATCCTACAAGAGGTAGACCGTAGTGTATTGAAGAAACGTATATTTGGCGAAACGTTTGGCATTCCCAAAAAGTATGGGATTTTCAAATCTACCTTATCCACAATACTTAATGCTCGTGAAAAAATTTTAATGCTGCTGCTTCGACTTCTGAGAATAAATCCAAGCTACTTCGCAGTGCTAAGATGTCAAATTTTACTTTTTAGTCAATCATATGTGCGCTTCCAATGTACTTTGACTGTAATTCAGTGAAAAACAAACGAGACTGAAAAAATATAGACGTTCAAGGTTTTATTTGTTCCGCTTCCAAAAGAGACATTCGATTGAGTCATTAGCTATTTGTGGTGAAACAAATAAATTTGATGAAAAAGAAGTAGACAAATGGTCGTATGAACTTAACTGAGAGAAAAGTATGTCTTCTGTGCTATCTGCAATTGTGGATGAAACTGGACATTTTTACAATCTTTTCCCAAGTCGTACCTTCGGAATAAAAGGTGCGCACATAGTGAAGCGCGCAGTAAACAACTGCGTTTAACCGTTGTCTCTGTGTGTAATGCAGACGGCAGTGATAGACGTCATCCTTGTTGAACGGTAAGTCCGAAAAACCACTTTGTTTTAAGAACATGAACAGTGTTTTATCTTGCATCTATTCTAACCATAACTAAGCTTGGATCGAGAGCACATCTTTCCGTAACTGGCTTCTTCATTTTAATAGTCGAATTGTGGCTCAGAATAAGCATCTCCTTATGACACTGAGAAGGTGTACAGTCATAACATACATGATCTGAACTTAACCAATGTAAAGATTCAGTTTTTCGTCCCAAACGCAACAAGTAGTCTTCAGGCTTTAGATCAAGGCATTATTGCAGTTATAAAGAGGTCTTATCGCCTTGCGACAGCTGCAATTCCGTTGTTGAAAAGGAGACGGAAACGCCAATTTGGAATATTCTTGATGCTATAAAAGCTATTCCCGCACCCTGAAATTCGTCATCACAATACATATAGAATTATTTTAGCAGAGTCTGGAGACATAAGGACGCTAATCCTGTATGTTTGTTTAAGGAGTTTGTTAGTGCAGATATTGATGATGCCGTACGTGCTCCAGTGGAATTTGATATTGAAACAATTGTGATAATTGGATACTGGAATTTGATATTGCTCCAGTGGAATTTGATATTGAAACAGTTGTGTCTGAGTTGCAAGTAATTTCATCCGAAGAAAGTGATTCTACCTACTTTCTGAAAATACGTCACGCCTTGGATACTGTAGAACGTCTTGGTGCAACATCCGCATCGCCAGTTTTAAGGAAGACGTGAGTACAGTTGGCTGTACAGTTACCAGGCATTTTCGTTCCAATCTGCGATAACGCAATACGCAGGACTTTGTCACCACAAAATTATCTGTGAGTGAATTTTTTTCGAGTTACAGTACAGTAGTTAGTAATTTAAAAGTCTGGTATTCTTAGGAAGCATACACTATCGACTTGAAAAAAAAAGACTATAAAAGAATTATTTTCACGTCTAATAATTCCAAACCAAAAAGAAGAAGGATGTATAAGAACCTTTTATTTGAACACAAAGAAAGTAACAATGACCCAATTTCAGTTTACACAAGCGAACACTTCTGGCTTAACTTAAATACGAAATGTTGAACTAAAATCAAATGTATATTAGCCTAAAGCTGCGTTCAGAAGGGGGCGTAAAGGGCATAAGTGGTTAAAACCGAGCTCCGTTGCCAAGGCAACTAGTCTGTGCTGATTTAGGGCTCGGGGCATAGGGTTCAAAGTCTTCAACTTTACGCCGAGTTTGGGATAAGCGTCGACCAATCAGAGCGAAGCTAAAACGAAGCGGCGTTTTACAGAAGATTTCGCTGTCACAAAACCAGGAGAGAAAGCCGAGAAGCAACTCGAGCAGGAAACAGCGCGGGAAAAGTTGACCACATCACGCATGCACAAATTTAGCTTCTCTCATTGGCCACGCCTTACACACCGTTCTCACAGGGGTGAACGGAACTCCCGTATTTTATGCCCTTATGACTATGCCTCTATGCCCTTTATGTCGCCGTCTAAACGCAGCCTAACGGCTCACAGGATAAGGCAACGCTCAGGAAAGGCTCTGGTTTGTAGAAAAAAAACCGGCGAAACAAACCTAATAGCTAGAATCACTCAATGACACAGCGTTAAATCGCTATTAAGTCACTGTAACAGCGTGGCCTCAATTAAGCAAAACGCGCTCTAAAATCAGCTTGCGAAACCTTCGCTTAAATAGCGCTTCCTTCTCCCTTATTCTGAATAAATGCTCGCTATGTCATTTACATTTTGGCATGAAAATTGTGGGTGAAAAGAGAGTGACAGAAAAGTACTTAAAATTAACTATTAGTTTAAAATAAATAGATAAATCCTCACAAGTTAATACAGTATTGTAGTATTTTTTATGACAACATGCAGAATATATTGTAGTACTTATGTGACTATACTATACTGTAAATGGTTAATGTGTAAAAAGATTATTTCAAAAATAAAATTTGAGCCCCCAGTTAACTCGAATGTTTTTAACACGAACGCTTGATTTTCGGTCCCTTGAGATTCGCTTTAATTAGAGTTTACTGTCTATTAGTAATATGATGTAGAATTGTTTGTGGCAGCAATGCGTTGAAATATGCGATTTAGTATAAACTCATATAAATGTCAAATGTTGCCCTATGGAATTTGTTGTTCTCTAACAAAATAAATTAATGAATGTCGTTAGGAATCGTAAACGGGCATCCTAATATGCCCTGTACTCGGAAAGGTCTGGAAGTATGGCATACCAAGGACGATTGTGACATTAACATACAACCATAGATAAGAGTATTAAGCTGCCCATATTTTTAAAAAGTCTTCAAATGTAGTCGTCAGATGCAAAAGTGCTTATCTGCCTGCAGTTATAAATTTCTGTTTAAAGTTGTTATAATCTGTTATAAACATAAAAGTAAACAAACAATTCATTTTTATCGTTTTCTTTGAAAAAGCGAATTGTTTTCTAAAACTGCCTAATTACATTGCTTTAGAGGAAGTTTCATAACTGTATTGTGCTAGGTAAATGCTAATTTTAAAAATTACTGTAACTTTGGCAAAAAATGCCAAAATGCAAAGAACTTAATATCAAGCAATTGCCAAAAATTTTAAATGTTCACAGTGTTTTGTGCAATATATTTTGGAACATTTAAAGAAAATATGGTCACAGTTGAATAGAAAAAGAATAACTGGGTGAAAAAAAGTAACATTGAAACTAGACGATCCGACATTAATTTGAAAATCAATAAGAAATCGAAGAAAAAATTCTCGCGAGGTTGATGAGGAAATTAGACGTCCAATGAGTGCTCGAACTATGAGAAGTAGACTTATAACAACAGCTGGTCTGATTTGTTCCGAAACTAGAAAGAAGCCGTGGCTTTCAGAAAAAAAAAAATATTGAGATTGAAATAGGCTTTTTCGAACAAAAAGTTTGCGAAGGAAGAAACAAATATTTTCTGATGAATCAAACTTTCTGATAATCTTTGTTGTTCTTCTATTTCACATAAAAACAACTTTTCAAATATCTCTAAAATACTTTAAATTACAAAATATTCCATTTTTATTTGACTTTTAGATGTTGATATGCTTGGTACATACTATATCGGAGACACAGATTAGGAAAAAAGTTACAACGCACAACACATAATGTATAGTTCCCAATATAAAATACTGAAAGCTAGTTCTTTGATCTGAAGATTCATTGCGGTCATTTATGTAGGCAACAATGTATATTGTGAAAGTCATATCATAAGGTATTTCTCCCGCCTTCTTAGCATGCCTTCGTCGTGCAGTGGTCAGCACACTTGGCGCGTATTCGAGTGGTCAGTGGTTCGAGTCCCGGAGAGGGCATTGTCATTTTTCATGTCTCCTTCGAAATAACCTAATGTCTCTACAGTGGCTCCGCAACTAAAAAAGGTGGTAGATGATGATTCTCCCCCAGCAGGATTTGGCAATTAGGTCCCCTTATCCCCAGTAGCTCTTTAAAAGGGTATATAAGTAATTTTTCCCGCCTTCGTAGCGTACCTTAGTGGTGTAGCGGTCAGCACACTCGGCGCGTATTCGAAAGATCCATGGTTCGAATCCCGCAGAGGGAATTGCTTATTTTTCATCAATGTGAGTAGCCAAAAAAATTTATCAGTGTTCTTGAAACGCCTCTAGAGCCATACTTTTGTAAATTATTCGGTGATGCAAAATATAGTATGTTTTAGTGACACAGTTCTTCTAAATTGCCAGTTAGTATAGATATGATTCACTATAATTGCATTTTTTCACTATGCATGTTTTCCTATCACCATAATTGCTGATAATCATTGCTTATTTGGCATACATCTGGTTTTGATAAGATATTCTCTTAATACCAAAAGTACATAATATTCTTACAGCACAGGTATATTTTTAGTACTAATATATACTGTATGCATTTTGAATTTTTTTTAGGTCAGAGGGAGTAACGAAAGACGCAGCTCCTTTTCCATCATGCGATCTACACCTTTCTCTCTCAGCAGACAGAGCTCATACAATCCCAATGTAACAACCCAGCTCTATCAACAACAACAGCACCATCACCACGAATCTAGTGGATGGCAACAACAGGAAATTTCTTGTGACAACAGCACATCTCCGAAGAACAAAGACGATTCTGGAGCTGTCTCACCCACAGGTTACCGCTGTCAGTACTGCAATCCTCAAAAGGAAAGCAAGAAGACCACTCGGATGACCATTCGCAAGAAGGATGGTTATGAAAGGGCAGCTTTCCAGCGCGAAAGAAAAGTAGCTAAATCCCTCAGCGTTGTGGTTGGAGGTTTTGTCGTGTGCTGGCTGCCTTTCTTCATTGTTTATTTGATAGAACCTTTCTGCAGAAGTTGCTTCTTTCATCCTACACTCACAGCTTGTTTAGTGTGGTTGGGTTGGGTGAACTCGGCAATCAATCCTTTCATCTATGCTCTCAACAATAAAGATTTTAAGAAGGCGTTCCTTAGATTGACTATTGACAAATGTCGATGCTGTAGGAAGACCAGAAAGGGGCATGACCCCCAGCAATTTATCTGAAAGAGACATTTGTAGTTGCTAGTTCTGGCTAAAATGAGCCGGCGTTTTATATAACGCCAAAGTCCTTCTTTGCACAACCAGGAAAAGAAGGCTAGAGATACCACAGAAGAATGTATACATAATATATGCACACTGAAACGACAAATTTTACGTATATTTCGGTTAGGATATGAAAAATAATAATATCGCAGCAAATCGCAATATGTGGAGAAACAGGTAGAAACATACATTTGATTGGTAACTACCTCGACCATGCTACGAATGATGGTTATAATGTTCATTTTGACTTATATTAATGAATGCTATCAGGATCAAACTCCAGGAAGCTAAACGGTGTTTCGGAATAATCCGGAAAAACGATTGTGATAATTGAACCGTGAATAGTTAGATGTATGACAGTAAACATGACATCATTGGCATATAAAGCAGTGCTGCACTGTCTGAAGTGAACATCCCTCGTGAGGATTTAGATGGTTGCTTGTATTATATTTCCAACCAGACATATAATAATTTATCTACGATCAGTAAGCTACCAACTATGCTTCTGGGCGTCTTTTGACTGGAAGTATTTCCTTTTGCTTAATGCAGAACTGTTGTGACCATATAAAAGGGCGTAATTAGATGTAAAACTGGGATCATGGCATTTGAATTTCGCTTGGCATTATGGCGATGATAAAGTTAGTATTATGACTTGCACCAATGTCGACCATGGCTTTTGTATCCAGCATTTTCAAACTGTTGGAGAAATTTTGGTATCCTTTTAGTATACACTTTCGAAAAATGTTCATGAGTGCGATCAGTAAATGCTGGAGATCAGCAAAAATCAGTCAACATCATAAAGACAAATTGTAACGTTACTGAAGTAGCAAACAGCGTCATGACTGAATGAGGGAAAATCCACTACTCTATGCTGAAATATAATTCATCAGAGCTGTGCGAAGTTATGTTCTCCACTCCAAAAAATGTATATGGTCCGTAGTTATACATAATAATTTGTCTTTTGAGTTCAATTTCATTGGATGGTAAGGAGCCCCGACACTCAGTAAAAATTGTGCCAAAATATGGAATGCACTATGGAAAAGATTCCTATTCCATTGAGATTATTTTTATTAATCTCAAACATTATGATCGTTCCTTATAGAAAAGAAACCAGAACATTTTATTCATTGGAGATTAAGCTGTTCTAATGCCAAATGGACTCCAGAACAGAACGCAGTTTGAGTATGTCTGTGTTTCAATCATTTTCTCAGATTTCTTCCACTCCAATCTCGATGTGATAACTTCGACTACTTGAACCCCGAAGGTTTAAAAGGAAACGTTTATTCTGAAACGTATTTTAGAGAACTTTCTAGTAGCGGTTTTAAACCGAGTCACCTATAATGTACATAACTTCTCTTTCAGCAGGCATTTAGATAATATCTTTTGTTTTAAAAATTAATCATCGACTCACGACCAAACAGGACAGATATTTTTAGTGCATGCCGTATATTAGAGACCTTTTTAAATAATATATTACAGGAAGATTTCACTTAGCGCGTTTAATTCATCAATTAATAACTACTAATCAATGTCCTATTAATCAAATACAAGAAAATAATTATAATTCATTCATCATTTGCACTAAATTTTCAAAACACAAAAACTACACGAGCTATATTAGAGAATCATGTCATCAACGTGCTTAAATTTTTAATTAATGTGAAAATATACTGGTGTTCAAACTTAAAGTTAGAAATACATTTTATTCAATAGTTCAAAATTCACTGTTATTAATGTTTAGAAACTAACGTCATATATAGTCTGTAGAACGGTAAATATAATTTAAGCATTTAGTAGTTGTTTACATTAATAACATTAAAACGATAAGCTTCTTAAGTAAAACTGTTTATAAATTAGTGAATTTCGTGTAAAGGGTTATTTTTCAGGTAAACAAAATCACAAGACTGGCCGATTTCAGTGAAAATAAATTTTCACAGACTTTTAGGCAATGAACTGAGATGGAAAGCCATCAACTTGAGGTTGCGAAAGAACACTTACGGAAGATCGATATATGGCAGTGAATGCGTGACGCCATAGCGACAGATGACGCCTAGATATTTTCACAGAACCTCGTTGCTAGAGTCTGAAACAACAGTTTCCATACAAATTGTACACAGACACCTAGTTCAGCAGGTCTTTTATCCCCGGTGACCAACGGTATGTATCCTCCTTAACAGGTCGCAGAAGAGATCATACCTTTGTTGGAGCCAGGCAATCTATTCTCGAATACAGTAAGACTGGTGGCCATATTTTCTTTAATGACGAGTCGAGATTCAATATACAAAATGATTGTCTACGAATGTTTATCTATATAAAACCTGTAGTCCGTTATCGTCCTCCAAACTAAGTGAAAGGAGCACTTTGTTTGAAGTGGAATCCATGGGTGAAAAGGAATCTTATAAACGGACAAACAGCTTTACTATATCTTCGATGCTGGCCACTCTAATTTGAGGTTCTTGAAACTTATATGCGACTTTTCTGTGAAGATATAGTCATGGATTTTATCTTTATGGAGGATAACGCGAAGCCACACAGCGTTCAAATGGCGCGATGTTTTGGTCGAATTCCCCGTTATACTACTCCTCGAAGTGTCTGCCCAGCAAAGTCGTCAGACTTATATTCAATAGATCATGCTTGAAAGCCTCTAAGAAGAGCCATTGCACGACATAAATGCCTTTCCATTAAAATCCTCGCTTTTAGAAGAATTGGATTTTTTTGTCACAAGCTTTATGATCAACAATTTCATTTGCATTATTAAGCGCAATCGTGAAGCATGTGAAGCTATAAGAGATGGCCGTGCTATTTAAAAGCCGACCCATTCTAAAAATATGAAGTGTCATGTTTTGGCTGTTCTTAAATACATGTCACCGTCTGTTTATTTTCCTGTATTACTTTTAGTTGTCTCATAGTATTGAGCATCTGCGTACAAAATTCGATTGCAACAGATCTATTATTTTTCATCAACTTACATTTGCTTTGTGTTTATAATCATAATTTTGAGCACCAGTATATTTTATTGAGTTACTTTCTCCATCCATTATTTTAAAAAAATTAGTTTAAAAGAAAGTTTTAGCCCAAAAAGGCTTTTCAAATTGTTGGCACCAAATATTATCATACTGTTTTGTTTTTAAATTAAATAATGAAGAATCTGCATGAATGTATATATGTTTCTCGCACTGTGAAAAACGGCGTTACCTAGGAACATCAAATTTTGAATAACGTATTATTCCACCCAAACATGCGCACCTGCAAGCCCAGATTTTGAATTTCGAAATTTATATTTCATATTTTATAACACTTTAATGAATTTTTAATTAACAAACTCAACAATTTCAAAGTGAGCAGTGGCAGCACTGAACGGAATAAGATATTTTTCCTCCAGCTCGCGAGGCTTTATATCGGAAAAGCTAAAGATATATTGTTTTAAATATTTCGAGATTTTGCTGTTGAATTAAATTTTTTATGGTGCGAAAAGTGCGAAAAATATGATATTTAATTAATAAGTTAATCACACAAAATGTTAATATTAAAAAGGTTTTGCGAGACATCTTACTAAGAAAACTGATCATTGATTATGATAAATAGATAGAAAAATGTATGCCAACACTTAACACTCTATCGGGAAATCTAAATATATGCTGCTCTGCTGTATGTAACATTTTTGTAATTTTGCTGTTGAACTGTATATGGCGTAAGTGCGAAGAAAATGATGTTTAATAATAAAACTAAAAAGATAAAAAGAATTGAGTAAGCAGGAGTAATGAATTAGCTACAATAGATTGATAAACTGCTGCGAGCTCAGAGAAACCTAAAAACTTTTGGTACTATTCCGTTTTCAGGACTGTAAAAAAAATTGCAGCGAAAATGTATGCGCAAAAGCGCCAAACGCGCCCGTTTAACAGCGCGCCAAATCTAACGTACGAGCTGATTTACAATTGCGTAAGTTCAGATAATTCTATATTTCTTAAGACGCCATTGAAATAGTAGTTTAATTTTTAAATCACTTTTTAGTCCAAAGGGATTTGAATCCCGAAG